CGATCGATTTGCATCATCAGACAGCCGCCATCGACCAATGTTGAACGATCCGCGCGGTGCCAGGAACCAGCGTAGAGGCCGCCACGACACGAAATGGCGGCCGTCTGGTCGACGCCTCCTCAGGGCTGGTCTTGGCGCTCTCTTTGGGTGGTGTTGGCACGTTCTAAGAGGGACATCTGCCAGCACCTCGTGCCGAGGGGGGATTGTCGCCACCAGAGGCTGGTAAGAAAGCCAGGTCAAATGCGCCATGCTGGTGCTGATAGTCATGATAAGACGACCCAGCGTGCCGAAGGCAAGCTGATGGATGGTTGAGACTCGTGCACTCATGTACTCAAGCGTATGAGTATGACGGGGTATCACCTGAGGTCCGGCGTAAAGAGGAGGCAGAAATAACTATAGGATTGGTATACATATACACATACTTCTCGTCTAGATCGGTATCTATCTATATATAGATATGCGTCGAACTGTATCCAGTTGCCTGCGGCAAGTCTCGCCACCGTGCCAGTTTGACATTCTGGGTGGCGACTGCTCGAGGGGGCACATGAGGCCGTCACGTGTGACACCTCGTGCCTCCAGGCTTAAGAGAACCGTGATCAGGATTATGGGGATGGTGGGGGTTAAGTACGATGATGTTGTTGATGATGATGGTGATTATGACGGCGATGACGCTGATGGTGGTGATGATGATGATGATGATGGTGGTGATGATGTTGATGGAGTGAACGATGAGGAGGATGATGAGGAGGATGAAGTTGGGGATGAGGATGATCATGCTTCTAATCACGCGGTGGTCATTATGATGATGCCGATGGTATTGATGATGGTGGTGGTAGTGAGGATATTGCTGAGTATGATGATGGTGATGGTGAAGACACAAATGATCATGATGATGATGGCGATGATGATGATGATGGTGGTGATGATGACAATGCTGATGTTGATGCTGCGTATGATGCTTGTGAGGGTGATGATGATGATGCTGATGATGATGATGCTGATGATGATAATAGTGATGATGGTGACTATGGTGTTGGTTGGGTTGATGATGTTAGTGATGATGATGATGATGGTAATGGTGCTGATGGTTATGCTGCCGATGGCGATGACGACGACGATGACGATGCCGATGACGATGACGCTGTTCATGGCAGTTGATAGTGATTATCACAATGCTGATGTGGATGATGATGGTGACGATGCTGCTGATGATGGCGGTGGTGGTGTTCGTGACCACGCTGATGGTGATGATGGCGGTGATGATGGTAGTGATGGTGCTATTGATGATGAGGAGGAGGAGCAGGAGAGGCAGGTGGAGGAGAAGCTGCAGCAGGAGGGAGAGGAAGGTCTTTTCATGTGGCACCTTTCCGTCTCCATTGTTTGACGGAGCGCTCATGGAATTCCGTTGGGTCCTCTTGGGGCTGCCGTGGCCTCCTGCGAGGCAGTCTCTGGGCTCTCCTTGGGCCGTCGTGGGGCTCTCTTACGCCGTCGTAGGACTCTCTTGGGCTTGGCATCGCTCGGGCGTGTGCATTTTTTCTTTCGGCGAGCACCATCGAGGAGCATCCTTGATCATTTCGCGAAAAAACCACGCACGAAACCGAAAAAAACACAGGACATGGACGTCCGAGCGATGGCCAGTGGGCTGCCGTGGGGCCCTCTTGGCCGCACGGTGGGCGTCACGATGCCTGGGAGCCGCCGCGGGGCCGTCCCTGGGCGCCGTCCTGGGCCATCGCTGGGCCTTTCCAGGCCGTCGCGGGTCCTCCTCCTCCTCCTCCTCCTCCTCCTCCTCCTCCTCCTCCTCCTCCTCCTCCTTGTCTTCCTCCTCCTCCTCCTCCTCCTCCTCCTCCTCCCCCTCCTCCCCCTCCTCCTCATCCTCCTCCTCCCCTCCCACTCCTCCTCCTCCTCCCCCTCCTCCTCCTCCTCCTCCCCCTCCTCCTCCTCCTCCTCCTCCTCGCCTTCTTAAGCCGTTTTGGGGCTGTCTTAGATGCTTCTTGGGCCATCGTGGAGTCCTCTCGGGCCATCTGAGGAGACTCTTGAGTTGTCTCTTGGCACCGCTCGGACGTTTGTATTTGTCCTTCCGCGAGGACCATCGAGGAGCATCCTTGATCATTTTGGCGAAAAAACCACGCACGACACCGGAAAAAAAAAAACACAGGGAATGGGCGTCCGAGCGATGGCCAGCTCGGGCCATCCGAGGAGACTCTTGAGTTGTCTTGGGGCCATCGTGGAGGCCTCTCGGGCCGCCTCGAGCCGTCGACAGCTCGAAAGGGCCAGAAGGCGACGATCACTCCAAGGCCGAGGGGGGAGCTGCACGATCCTCGAGGTCTAGGAGTTAGCAGCCGTGCCAGGAGTGCACAATCCACGAGCAGGCGCGCATCGAATGACGGTTCAGGCAATCTGCTGCCATGCGGGAAGTGCACCATCCTCGAGCGGGTGCGCGCAGAACTGGGGGTCTGCCGTGCTGGAAGTGCGCCGTCCTCGAGCGGGCACGAGCGAAGGTGGCATCGGGAAAGGGGGGGATGCATGCGGCTGTGTGCTAGTACGTAGAGGGAGGGGCGGCCCCCGATTAGAGTTCATATAACTCGACCAGACAGCCCATGGCAGTCTTCCACGCCTCAACGTGCCAGGGGGCATGGTGGAGGATAGTATATATGTCTCTCTGTATGGACAGAGAGAGATACATATACATATGTATATCTATATACGCACACACATAGGACAACAACAAAAAAAGCGAAGATGCCTCTGGCGAGTCAACGCCGCCCTGTGCCCTCTTGAAACGCCTGTGTTGTGGAATGCCGTGCGTCAGCACCAGATTGCAAGTGGACCGCGTGTTGCCCAAGCTCTCGGGGCCGTCTAAGAGCTGCCCCCGGGCTAGTGTCGGGTCCCCATTGGGCATTAGTAGGGTTAAGTCGGGCCTGGTCCTCTACAGAAAGAATACAACATAGTCTGGGGACGATTTGCTGGCTATTTTTTGACCATTCAGGGAGTATATTTGAGCGTGTTTCATTTGTTCATCCAAAATCCCCCTGTATGGGGGGGACACGCCCGAGTTAATATCAGGGGTCGCTGCGGGGCCTCTCGGGGAACTCCCAGGGCTTCTCGGGGCCATCTTGTGGACCTGTTGAGCCGCCTTAGAGCTTAACCCATCTAACGCCTTTGAACGCCGTATTTGGAGACCAACCCTTTCGGCGCCAGCACTCGTAAAGTCTCGGGTTCGATAAGTACGCAACGATGTCAAGGTCACACGTTGTGTCGGTACGGTTCGCTTTCAATGGGTCATGGCACTATGTTGGACCAGTGTTTCGATATGTCTTTTTGCGGCCCATCTTTTATCTGCGCGCCAACGTATTCAGAAACAGCTGATGCGGAGCAATGTGTTCTGCAAACAACGTCGATGCGTTCACAGGTGGAGCGGGATGAGGAGGAGGGGTCGGGTTGGACCCAGGGGGGTCCAGGAGGAGGACGAGGCGGGTTCTGGGCGGGCTTCTGAGTGTCCAGGAGGAGGAGGAGGAGGAGGAGGAGGAGGAGGAGGGGGAGGAGGAGGAGTAGAAGGAGGAAGAGGAGGAGGAGGAGGAGGAGGAGCAGCTTGCTCGGAACCTGGCCTTGGCCGCTGCATCGCTCTCTGCCCCTCGTCGCGCCGCGGCCTCCTCTCCGGAAGGAGCGCCGAGCGTGCCGCTGCCTCGCCCAAGCAAGTTGCCACCATGAGGCACGCTGCATCGGGAGAGAAGGACAAATCCGGGGTCCCTAAAGCGCATGGGCGCCGGGAGCGCCCTCCTCTCAGAAGCCAGCCGAAGGCTGGCAAGCCCGTGGCTGCTAAAGCAGAGCTCCTTGTTTTTTTCTTCCAGGACGCCGCCCGTTTCTTATCTCGTGCCGGAGTGTTCCAAAGGGGGTTTGGGGGGAGGGGGTTTTCCAGAGAGCTCCCAAGGGGCCCCGGAACCTCGTCAAAACAGGGGGAGAGAAGCCCCTGGGGACCCCTCCTGGAAAACCCCCTCCCCAAAAACCCCCTTTGGAACCTTATTCTGGGAAGCTGTTTCTTCCTTCCGGGAAGACCGTTTTAGCAGCCACGGATTTGCCAGCACTCGCCCAGCTTCCGATCCTCTCGGGAGTGGGCCGAGCGTGCTGTTGCTTCGTCCATGTAAGCTACTACCATAAGGAACTTTGCATCGGGAGCGAAGGGCCTCTGGGGCCCCCAAAAAGCGCGTGGGTGCGAGGGAAGCGCTTGAAGGACCGCCATAGGAGGACTTCAAGTTCAGCGGTCCCCTTCCAAACCCAAGCAGCGGGGCGCCAGGCCAGCGGTGTGGTGCGTTGTGCCTTGGGACTCGAGATTCTCGGGCGGGCGGCAGTGTGATGTGACCTGAGGGGGGGGTGAAGAAAAGCACCCTAGAGGGACCCTAAGGGGCCCCATGAGGGCCGTTTTGCTGCAATCCTACATTACTTGACACCGCTCGGACGTGTGTGTGTGTGTTGTTTTCCCTCGGCCAGGACCATCTTGCGAACAAGCAAAAACAGCGTGCACGACATCGAAACGTGTACGTGGAAGGGGCGCCCGAGCGATGACAGGGACCACCACCCGCCCGAGATTTTCGGCGCGAGAGGGTGCCCGCCTGGACCGCACCGATGGCCGCGTGTCGCGCTGGACCCCCCTCCCTGACGCGCGTCAGGGGCCGCGCCCGAGGCGCCGCCAGGGGACCTCCGGCGCCGCCCTGTTTTGTATTGTATGCATGTGGGCTCATGTTTTTTTGCCATAGTATGTTTGTGCCCTTCTACGTTCCCCTAGCCGCGGCACCTCCGCAGGCCATGCCGCCGCGCGGAGCCGCTGACCAAAAAAAGTATCCCCACCAGCCCGTCCAGAAATGAACCCCAGGAGAGTGCAGGCGATGGGGGAAACGGGGTATCACGCAGAAGAGCACAGGGCGGGGCAAGCCGTCATATACCCCAAGTGGGGGGGGATGCAGGAGGAGTCGTCGTCGTCGACAAACGGGGGGGGGCGGCCGGCCCCGAGGCGGGCCACGAGGCGAAGGCCGGCGAGGAGGGCAAGGCCTGGCGCGCCGGGCCCGCGGCGAGCCTCTCGGGCAGAAGCGAGGAGGGGGGGGTGGCCTGCGGAGTGGGCTCGGAGGGCCTCGGGCCTTCCGAGCTCCTCCTCCGCCTCCTCCTCCTCCCTCCTCCTCCTCCTCTTCCTCCTTCTACTCCTCCTCCTCCCCCTCCTCCTCCCTCCCCCTCCTCCTCCTCCTCCTCCTCCTCCCTCCTCCTCCTCCTCCTCCTCCTCCTCCTCCTCCTCCTCCTCCTCCCCTGGACACTCAGAAGCCCGCCCAGAACCCGCCTCGTCCTCCTCCTGGACCCCCCTGGGTCAAGATGGCACGCCATCTCGAGTGCAGCGTGGATACCGCCAGTCCGCGGCCAGTTCCAACAGTTTCGCAGCCACATCCAGGGAAGAGCTGCCGCCCATTCCTGCTCATTTTTCTGGCGTTGCAGGCCGCCATCAATATTCCTTTGAGCCTCGTGCCGAACCTCCGTATCGATTCGATACTCGTGCCGAGCATCCATATCGCCGCGTCGAGCTTTGCGCCGTGCATCCATATCGCCTCATCGTGCGTTGCTCCGAGTGTGTCAACAAGAGTCATTCAAGTACGCACTGGTTTCGAAACGGACCTGGCCAGTGGCGAAGCGCTGAACAGCGCCTTGATTCCTGTTGCCTGTACTACAACAGCATGTCCGCCGCATCCTCAGACAAGGATGACATCTCCAACGACTCCACGTCCCGCAGCCGTCCTGATGACCGCCGCCAGCGCCGCGAAGATCCTCGCCGAGACGACCGACGTAATGAGGACCGCCAGCATCGACGTGAAGAACCCCGCAGAGATGGTCGACGCGCTGCCCGCGAACACCTCGAACACCGAGGCCACACAGGCTTCGGCATTCAAGGCCCCGCAACAGCGGCAACCCCGAGCTGCAGGTCGGAACACCGCACGCCCACCGCCTACACCTACCCGCAAATCGGCCAGATCAGGAGGAAAAGTTGCGCCCGAGGCACCCGCCGTGGCCATGGAAGAGGACATTGCGCCACCACCTGGTCCCGCTGTCCATAATTCCCTTTCGGGTGCCGCCGACCCCCGGGCCAACTCTCGATTTGTCAAGCAACGGTTGGGCCCCGCAGCCGCCGAACAATTCGCACGTGACATCGAAGTGGCTCCTGCCTTCGCATCTCAACCTGCTGTTGTCCCTCGCTGGTCACGTTACCCCTGGATCTGAACATGGACCACATCCTACACAGTCCGAACGTCATGGTCCACTTCCTGGGATGCCCGAAAATCTGGGCGTCGCTCTCCGTGAACTCACGCAACTCCAAGTTGCTACTTCCGCCGCCGGCTTTCAAGCGCGAGCCGACCTGTTTCCCGCCGAATCCCGTGAAAGTTTCCGCCATCTCGTTCAGCAACAAGTAACGGCCACCGAACGCCGAGGTGATGTACTACTGGGCGAAGTCGCTCGCGCTCGCGGAAAACAAGACCGCCAAGCTACGTGACGCCAGCGAATGTGGCAACATATCGACCAGATGCGCGACGCCCTGGCCCTCGCCGAAGCGCAGACACCGATCGCGGACCTCAACCGCTTCGCCGAGTGGGACCGCCAACCTGACCCCACTCTCCTCACCGTGGGGTGCCAGCGCCCTTCGCGCAGAACGCTCTGCTCAACGACCTCCAGGAATGGTTCGCTGAGGCCAACTTGCAACCAAATCGTGTGGAACTACTCGGAGGTGGCGACCCCGTTCGACGCTTCGTACTACAAGTCAATGGAGATAACGCTGTCTCAGTACCCCGAGCTATGACTCTCGCGCGCCATGCGCAGTGCAGCTGGTCAATGGAAGCGCTTTGCCTCTACCGGCGCCACGGGCCAGCCAGTTGACATCTATATCAATCCAGATCAGAACAGAAGTCCAGACCCAGAAGCTCCTTCAGCTCATGCAGCATCGCTACCCTCACCGTCGGTGGAGAGCCTTCCGCCCCAAGGGAGAGATCCATTGCAACTTCGCGCACGTCGTCGAGATCCTCATCCGAGGCCAGACCGCCCCCTCCATCCCCCAGTGGAACGAGCAAGCCTCTGACCACCCGCAGTGCCAGCCCACCGACCGCGGCAATATCCCAACCTCCTTCCAAGCGCTTTTTAGCTGACGCGGAGGCAGCCACGCGGCGTTCCCAACCACCGCTGGTTCCTTGGCGGCGCGACGCCGCCACGAGGCCGACCACCGTCGCCACGTGGAACGCGCGGGCCCTCATGCGCTATAAGGGCAGACGCCGCCGCGGCAAACAAGCCGCCCTCGCAACTTACATGAAACGCAGGTGCGCGGTCGCGCTCCAGGGGGGCCCGCGGCTCCGAAGCACAGCTCCGCACCTGGGTCGACGCGCGGCCGTGCCCCTACAAGGTCTTTTCCTCGGCGTTCCCCAGCGCCGACGGCGACAATTCCACGGGCGGCGTTGCCGCGCTCGCACCGTGGCTCTCGCCGATGGAGCTGGAACAGCATCAGCCGCATCAGCCCCCACTCTCTGGCCACGACGAACTCGGTCCTGGTCGCGCCCAGCAGGCCGCGATCGCGCGCGCCGTCGCGCGCGCCACCATGGCCATCATGGGCGTCCACAACCGCGACATCACCGTCGACGAACGCCGCGAGATCCAGCAGGCATGGGGGTCTAATCGTACGCGGGCGGAGGCGAACTACCGCATGCGCGCATTCATTGCGACCGGGGATTTCAATGGAGCCAGCCGCTCGCCACAGAGCTTCTTCCAGCCGCAGCCGCAGGATGCGCGCCTCGGCCTCGACGACAGCATGCGCCAGCAGCAGCCTTTCTGGAGGGCCCCTTTTCGACCCAACGCTTGAGGCCGAGACCGACCTCCCGACGCGCTTCAAACGCTCGGACTACACCGCCTCCACCATCGACCGCATGTTCATCAGCCCCCCCCGGCGCCACGGGCGAACCCGCCATCGACGCGAAGGTTGCATGCGACGCGACGCTGCTTTCGGACGACTGCCTCAGCGACAGCGCGGTCATCGTTTTCTCCGTTGGGATCAAGCCACGTATGCCGCTTATCGAGCAGGCCATCCACCCGCCCATCTTCCGCGACCCGAAGTAAGCCGTCTATTTCCAGCAGCTGCTCGACGCCGCGAAGACCGACCGCGTCTCCATCGATGGCCGCTGGCGCACGCGCACACAAGAGGCTCATGACTGAAGCCGCGCAGCTGGCTCGTGACGACTAGGTTCGGAAGCCCGCGGGCGTCGTCGACAAGTCGGGCTACCTCGCGGGGGGCGTCTTCACCGCTCGCTCCATCTCCAAAGCCGCTTGGCGCCAAGATCTTCAACTCGCTCGCCGCGTCGCCGCCGCCGCCGCCCTGGGCGCCAGGTACCTCTCGATTGCCAATGGCACTGCCACGCTCCGCGACCCCAGTGACTTCGCCACTCAGGCCGCGCAGCTGCGCCGCGACGTCGAGGCCAGGCAACTCTCTCCCTTGCCCAGCAGGCAGCTCAGCGCCCCCGGGGGCAAGAAGGAGCGTTGCGCCCAGAGAAACTACGTTCGACCATGCGGTCCCCCCAGTGTCGGGCCCTTCCTTGGGCCCCGTGGAAACGCCGTCTCGTCGCCCAGGGGGTCGAGATCACAGGCCCTGATGGGCCTCAGACCGCCAGAGAGAGTAGCTCCATCGTCGCTGCCCTACGCGCTCACTGGCAACCCGTCTTCGAGGCGAAGCGCGCCGACGTTGCCGAGGTTGTCGACTACATCCGCGCGCGCGTGCCGACGGGCGACCCCCTCGACATCGGGGCGCCTGCCAAGCCACAGATCCACTCCTTCCTGCGCAGAAAATCCCCCTCGGCTCCTGGCCCAGACTACCTGCCGTACTCCGCCTGGCTCACGCGCGAAGGCTCGCTCGACATGCTCGAGGGCCCCTCCATCCTCTTCTGCGCGGGCCAGTTCTACGTCCGCGATCTGAACGACTCCGACTTCACCTTACCGCCGAAGGGCGATAATGCACAGGGCGAGCTCGCAATTGACAGGGCGCCCGAGGACGCGCGCCCGCTCTCGCTGACAAGCGCGGACACCAAAGCCATCGCAGGAGCCGCTAACTTCATGATCATCGGCGCCGTGGCAGAGCGCACCCACGTCGCCCAGCAGGGCATCGTTCAGGGACGCACCAAGCACAGCGTCCGCTTCGATGCCGAGATGCGCCGTGCTGGATGGCTACAAGACGCTCCCGAATCCAAACCCGTCTGAGACAGCTTTGACTCCTCGGCGGCCTTCCCGTCTTTGGGGCGGGGCTGGCTCTTCATCGCGCTGGAACACTTGAGCCTTCCGCAGGGCATCCTCAACCACGTCCAAGCCATGTTCTTCGCGCCCTCCAGCTAGCTACATCAAGATCGACGGCGCGCGCCACGACATGTTCGCGATCGGCTCTGGAGTGGCGCAGGGCTGTCCTGCATCAGGCTCAAACTGGGCGATAGCCATGTACCCACTCGTCCGCCAGCTCGGGCTTGGGTGCAGGATCCTGCAGGGTCTCTTGCAGGATCTCGCAGGATTCGGCTAGGCCAAGCTGGCTGGACACCAGCCAATCGTGCAGCGTGTGGGGCTGCTGGACGTGGCACTTGCCCATCAGGTAGGAGGTGGACAGGCAAGGTGTCATGGGCCTGCTCGTCACCGACCGGACCAGGGCACTGAGCAGCTGCGACTACACTTGCTGCCAACTTCGGCCAGCCGGTGGGAGGTGTGAGCATGCTACGCATGGAATGAATTCAATGGAAATAATTTGCAGTGGATCCGCGAGTGGATCAATCTAGACTGATGAGGCTATGATGCCTCTTTTGATTCTGAGCCGGCTATGATGCCCGCTCGTGCCCACCCCGTCCCGTCTTCAGGGATTTCGCATCCTCCTATGATGGTAAGATGGGAAGACGGGCCGCCGCCCCTGGCACTGCACGTACGGTGCCAGGTTTGTGGGGATTTGGTTCGACCCCCGCAGTTCCGATGATGGAAACTGCGAGGGGTGCGAGGCCTCATGGTGGTCCTCACTGGTAAGGCCCATGATGGTCCTCACCGGGGG